CTCAGATTGGAGTGCAGGGGCCGCTCCCGGCCACCGCAGCCTCGACCTGCTGGGCTCTGGCGATCCTGCCACCTCAGCCTTCCGAGTAGCCAGAATTACAGACACGCGCTACCACGCCCGGCTGTTTTTTGATTTATTGTAGAGATGAGGTCTTGCCAAGTTGCTGAGGCAGGTCTCGAACCCAGGGGCTCAGGCAATCCACTCACCTCAGCCTCCCAAAGGCATGGGATGACAGGCTGAGCCACTGAACCCGGCTCTTAACACATTATTTAACAGATGGGAAAAATATCCTGGAAGGTCCACATTTTTGCAAGCATTCACGTGGCTAGTGTTGGACTCAGCCTGAAAGCTCAGTTCTGTCGCAAGGTTCCAAGCTGCCTGCATTTTCTCCTGTTTCTGGTTTTGACTCACACCCGAATGAAAATAAAGCTTATTTTGAGTTGTGATAGTCACTGTTTGTTTTGCTTTTGCAACAAGCCTCCTTTTGTCAAGGTTCAAACACTGTGGCACAGGAGGTGAACCTTGGTAACCATGGGTACCTCGTTTTCCTGGCCTTGGTTCGCAAGGTCTGGTTCCAATCCTAGATTCCTAGAATTGCCACTCTGGGCTCCCAAACTGAGGTTTCCCTTCTGAGACCAGGGACCGCATTTCTAGCAGTAAGACACGGCCCATTCCTTTCAAAGTAGGTGCTCACCCTTCATGAACCCATGGAAGATTGAGTAACAATGAGTTTATCAGTAATCACAGACTTCAGACTAAGTATCAAGCATTGCACCAAGGATATTGTGAACATTATCATCTTACTTAATCCCTACAATTATTCTATTATTATCCTATAAGAATACTTCTTCTTATGAAGAAAGAGAGGCTTAGTACACTAAGAAAATCGCCAGATATTGGCCTGTTTGTAAGAGTCAGACAAAATATTCAGCCCAAACTTTGGAATTCAAATCTTCTGATCACTATGCTGTACTGCTCTGAGAAAGACAAAAATATAATATGATGTATCATAATCACAATCTTTTTTGATATTCTTTCCCTAAAGATGATTGAGGTAAATTTTTTCACCACCTTAGAGATAAGAAAACTTAAGACTTGGAGGAGTCAAGAAATTTGCTTTAGACCTCAGAGATTTGGGACTTAAATTCAAGTTCATCTGACTTCAAAGCTGCATTCTTTTTCCATGTCATGCTGTCTGTATAATAATACTAATAAACAACATTTGCTGTATCACCATTATCATCTCACAGATCTTTATATAGCATTTACTATATGGTAGGCTGTGTTCTAACTACTTTGCACACATTAGTTTATTTAAGCCTTACAAAAACCCTGTAAGTTCCTCAATCACCCTGGGTGGACAGCTGAGGACTCACCGGGTCAGGGACTTTAATTAAAAGCTAGACCCAGCAGTCTAGTTCCAGTGTTCATTATCTGACTTCAGCCTTACACTCGCACAATGTTTCATAGATTACAAAGCTCTTTTACATGTGCTCCTCTTTAAGTTAATATTATAAATCAGCTTTTTTTTTTAATGGAATTTTTTTTTTTTTTTTTTTTTTTGGAGTTGGAGTTTCACTCCGTTGCCCACACTGAATGGAGGTTAGTGGCACACTCACGGCCACCCCAGCGTCGACCTGCTGGACTCCGGCGATCCTTCCACCTCTGCTTTCCAAGTAGCCGGAACTACAGGTGTGTACTACCATGCCCGGCTAATTTTTGATTTGTTGTAGAGATGAGGTCTTGCCAAGTTGCCTGGGCTCGTCTCGAACCCACAGGCTCAGTCAATCTACTCGCCTCAGCCTCCCAAAGTGCTGGGATGACAGGCTGAGCCACTGAGCTCTGCCTAATGTCATCTTACAGATAAGAAAATAGATACTCAGAAAGGATACACAATTCTCCAAATGAAAACAGCCCGCAGGAATTGGACTCCAACAAGGGCTGTCAAATAGTAATCTGAAATAGTCACCTGAGAAGGTATCAGGACAGATACCTAACCTTGTGAAAATGCACTTTTCTGGAAGGTTCTGAAGGAGTCTATAAATGGGCACTTTCAGGTATTGTCAGAAACAGAATAGAAGGGAGATGTAGGTAGTCCCCTGTCCATGTCTCTATTTCACTATGGTGGATATACATGCTTAGCCTATTTCTATCAACCCCTTTTGAAGCTTTTAATTGAGAGGCATAAAGGTAAGAGTGCCTAAGAAGCTGGTGGAGATTTCTTTCTTCTAACGTTAGGTAAAATGTAAGACTGACTTATTTTCCCCAGAATGGAAGTTTAGACACCGAGCCTGCTGTTTATCATTAGAAGACTCTTCAAGTAATAGTGATGTGTCTGTATTTTTTTCTGATAAGTTATACTTTCAGTAACATGAAGCAGAGGATAAATGACCTCTGTTTTCTTAGAAATGTTTCATTTCATACTGAGTATTTTCATTTACGTCCTTTACAGGTGAAACACAATTTAAGCACCTGCTTTCTGTCGAAAATATTTCTGACTTGTCTCTTAGCCTGTGTGAATCCAACAATGATTGGAGTACTCCTCGTGTGCCTGGTGTTCAAAGTGGGAAATGACACTTACCCAGTGTTTATCCACACACCCACTCTTAAGTCATGGGAGACCTGAAATAACTTCTCCTGAACTTGAAGTGACTGTTACTACAACAAAACTTACCACTACAACCACAACCACTACAGCCAACCCTACCATTGCAATAGCCGACAGCACCATGCCAGCTAAACAAACAACCACAGCCAGCCCTATGTCAACTCTATCAACAACTAGCATCTCTTCAGCTATGCTGACAGGCTCCTTAATTTCCAAAGAACCTACAACCTTAACCGCCACCCCTCCCCACACTGCAACTAAACAATTCCCACGGTAACCACCCTGTAATAACTGAACCTTCACCCAGTCCCATGACAGCTTAATCTGTAGCCACAGCAGGGACAATGACTTCACCTCTACCTAACACTCCAGAGATCTTCTAGCACCACCACCTCCACTGAACCCACTCCCACAAATTAACCACTCTGATTGAACACACAGCCCCTCAACCATAATTGAATCTACAAATAACATCGCTTCAGCGGAGATTGCAACAGTCAGTTTAAGTATCTATAACCACTGCAACTTCAACTGAATGTACAACCACAACAGCTATCACCACCACCACCATTTCATCTGAACTTACCACTACACCAACCACACTTCAACCACATGTTACTAAACGACCTCCCCTGCCCCAGCCTCATCTGAAATGACAACAACCACCACTCTACGGCCATTAAACTTACAAGTAGCCTTATGTCAACAGAATCACCATTTGTATTGAACGCACAACGAATACTGCCTCAACAGAAACTACAGCTACCAGAGGAACCACCACTGACATCTGAACCAACAGCCAGCAACAACCGAATCTGCAGGCATCACCACAAATGCACTACCATGATGGCTCCCATTAGCATATCAACTGAACATAGTGACACCTGACACCGTAGTCACTGCTAGGTTAATTAAAACTGCAGCTAGCATTATTTCACCTGAAACTGTAATGGCCACAATGTCTACTGGGCTGATGACCATAAAAGCCACCGAAACCATTATCAATGGAACTTACAAATTTCAGTTTCTTTTTGTTCATTGTTCACGAAAACATGTATTTTTCATTTTATGCAGAACAACCTGAAGTCTGCATCATGACTTGACAGTTACCCAGGGGTTTACAGTGTGTCCCTCTCAACAGCATGGCTCTGGGTGTGGAGGACCCACACAAACACAGGCAGGAGTTTCTAGGAAAGAAGTGTGTCTTAATCTCTTCTCAAAGAAAAGGTGGGAGAGCATTGAGTTGCTGAAAACCTGTGCATATGGGGTCTCTAAAACAAACATTGCACTGTGATCTTGGGGAAGGGGCAGAAAAAGGATATTGATGAATAAGGGAACAATTTATTGAGGCAAGGGCTGAGAAGGGAGGCCTTCTTATGCCCCAGTCCCAGGACCCGATAATCAGAGGAGATTATGTCCAACCCCCACTCAAAAAGAGGTGCTAGTACCCCGGGGACCAGATTCTGAAGACACCATGCTGGTCATTGCCGAGTCCCTGTTCTATGCCCCACAGCATATTAAAAGGAGGTGGGGGAGAGAGATCAGAAGACAGTGGCTTGTGTCCTGTGGAAGCAGTAGTCTTAATTCACTTAAAGCACTGATAAAACCCCGTGACTGGGGCCACAAATCAGACAGACCTGTTGAGAGAGGTCACTAGTAGGGACCAAGACGGGGCCGGTCCAAAGCAGTCTCAGCTCGAGGCATAGCAGGTATAGAAAGTCTGGAAGGATGTGCATACCAAAGCAAGTGGAGACAGAACACTCCCAGACCTTAGTTTTAATGGGTCAGTTTTAAAGAGAGAAATCAAACCAAACGTTGGATACCAGTCACAACAAATACCACGCCTTCATGGTCACCTGGTAGCATAAGAACAAATTGTCAAAGCATGTCCAATTAACACACAGGTCTTACGAGAAGGTGTCTGTGTGCATGGGAGCAGGCCAAGGGCTCAGTACAGCTGACAGTCCAACACGACTCCTATGGGAACAGAAGGGGCAGAGTCCTGGCTTGCAGGTCTACTGGGGGCTTAGCAGAGCTCCGAAGCAAAAGCTCTGAAGTGACCACGGATTCTCTGCAGCCGGCTTTGACCCAGGGAAAGGAGACCTAGAGTCTCACTCTAGAGATGGTGAGGGGGTTAACCTACCCATACCACGCGCATTAGTCCTGGTCATCCTACAGTTGAGCAACTCATACCAGGTAGAGGAAGGGAGCTGGTTAGGGAAGAAGGGGTCATTTTTCATCTTTTAAAGCCTTAATTTATATTTTAGCCTCAAACGTATTATCAGTGCCTCAGATACAGTTTACTCTTAAGTCTTTAAAGACCCCTGACACAAAAGTATGCTGTTTTTTAAGCTTCCTCGTTTTCTGGTAGTTTCTCTCCCAGTCTCCAGGCTTACCCTGACTTAGAGTCCACAAACTTCATCAGACCATCTGTGCTCATGGACTGGGATCTCTCTAGAGAGAAGCCTATGGCTCAATTCCAGATGAACTGTGTCATACTCCCTCCAAGTACCCATGACACCTCAAACAGGACCGTGTAGTAGTTAATCTCTGTCATGCCATACGGCTGGAGCAGTACCCAACTGTGAGCATCTGCATTGGACCAAGGATTTTTTACCTTTCCCTGCTGTAAGAGGACATTGGACACAATCTTACACAGTTGGGCAACCAACTTAAACATGGGGTCATTAGGCAGGCATTTCAGAGCAAACCGTCACTGACAGGTGTATCGTGGATCAGTCTTCCTCAGTCCTGCATGCCTGTACCCTGGAACAACCCGGCTTGAGTCGAGCATGCTCCAGATGTAGTCTCGTACCTTCTCATCTGACACATCTTTGCCAACGTCCTTCTGTCGTTGCAGTAGCCAGGCAAGCACTTCCTGATTTGCCAGTCCAGGGAGAGGCCCTGCCAGCCCGTTCATGGCTGCTGCAAAGGACAGGGAAGGGTCGGAAAGGGCACCGCCCACCAGGTGACTGGTACGGGCACTGACATTGCCGCCCCAATGGTCCATGTGGCTGGTGGGGTACAGATGCACGAACTCAGTGAACTGAGCATCAGTACAGCCTAACATGCTGGTGAAATTGTGGGACCAGTCCAGTTTAGAGTCAATGGCCCCAAAACTGCTGCCCTCCTAGTAGAGACTTCGGTAGATCTTTGTTGTAGCACGAGGTAGCTTTGAGATTAGATCCATACAGTCTTCATAAATCAACCAATCAGTTATGAATTAATACATGTATGTTTACTAAAGAGAAGATACGTTGTGTAGGACACAATGGGCAGGACAGCAGTGAGAGTGTCTGCTGTCTGCACAAACATCAATTTATACTCAACTGACAACCGTAACATCCATGACGATTGTTTCAGCGGAACCTGTGACCACAGAATTCAACATGGCCTCAACTGGACTAACAATCACCATGATGTCTGCTGAATATATGACCACAATATCAAAAACAATGACAACAACCCCTTGAAAGAAAACTAGAGCCATGATAGCCACCCTTACGACAACCAAATCATTATCAAAATAGTTGGCATTGCCACTAAACTGAAATCAACACCCAATTGCCACAATTTTTGTGAAAAACTATTACCGCAACAGCTACCACCATTCCAAATAAGTTCACAGTTTCAACAGGAAACACTCCTTCAGTTGACCCTACAACCACATTAGGAAGCACCACTTTAACTAACTGTATCACTATAATAACTTGTTCTACTGTTCTTTACTATCACTTCAATTCAACCATCTACGACTACTAATACTTCAAGCAGATCTTCTTCTCACCACAACTTTAGCCGAAATGCAGTTATCACAACGTCTAATGCATCTGCCACCATCATCATGTCAAATTAAGCTACAACTGCTACTTCAACGGGGCCTGCAATTTCCACTGAATGTATACCTGCATCAGGAACTGGCACATCTGCTTAGACTGTAACCACCGCCACCTCTGTCCTCGCTTCCGGAAAATCTGCTAATGTATGTGCTAATACCGTCTTTCTCAAAGAAACTACAACACTGCAATGACCTCTGCACAGCAACAAAACTTTTAATTCCTCCCTTGATTATATTACCCCTAACCGTTTCCAAGTTGCTCATATCCTAAATTTAAATCTACAAATGGTATCACAGGTGATTGTTTGGCCAACAGAAATACTTCACTGGAGCCAGAGAGAGAGAGCATAAAAATTACTCCAAAAATAGCAATTGAGCTCCCTACCAGTGCACCAGTGACACAACTCCCAAACCCACCTCATTTGTCTTTTAGACTTGAGATCTCCATTTTATTAGGGATGACACAGTATTTTGTAATAGTTTGACAATTTTTCTAAAATTTCAGATTGTGTAACTTTACTAGGAAAAAAAATCTAGAAACCACTCTCCAAGCAATTTGATGAAATCTCACAGGGAAATCATTATTAAGATCGGCTGGTATTTATTTTTGTTTGAGTAAAATTAAATGGTCCACCAGTGTGAATGCAGTTTTTTACTGTTTACAATATTTTGTTTTTTCATACACCAATTCTCTGTGTGTTAAATCAATATACCTTGCATGTTAAGCAAATGTATATAGAATAATTTGTAAGCACATTTTTATTTTTTATGTGTAAAACTATTTTAATTACATAACTTATATTTGTATGATTGTGTTACTTAGCACCACACCTGCTAGAAGAATTATTTATTACTCTTTATGTGACCTGGGAGTCACTTAAGTGTCAGACATTTATCACATGCTTTATCTCCTAAAACACTGAAGGAGATGCAGAAGAAATAACTCAGGAAAGTTATGGAAATAATTACTTCGAACACTCTTTGTATTTGTAGAATTCTTAAGTATCAAGGAAGCTTAAATTGATTTTGACATTGCTTGGACTCCACTAAGGTCTACTGTGTCATAACCAACAGGAGCGAGCCAGGAATGCATAAACACTTCCACAGTTGATTGTCATGCACAGGCATGTTTAAGTCACGGTCCAATCAATAAACCCAGGAAAGCATTCTGCCATCTTATGAGTGAGTTTGGTGAAGTTGATACAATTATACAATATTTTTAAGTCATAACAAGAAAAACCAATTTTTCAGAGAGGCAAGAAAAACATGAAAAAAAAATCTCAGCCTTAATCCAATCTCTAAAGAAAGGATGCTGTGAGGTATTTAATCACATGGGAAGAAATGTTTCACTTAGAAAAGAAACAAGCATTTCAAGCAAAAGCTGAAAAGATACATTTCAACCAGTAGCTACCAGGCAAATGAAAGTTCTGTCGGCAATTTAATAATATATAAATAAAGATTAAAGTTGCACTGAAATCCTTAATTTTGACTTTATTCGTAGAAGTTGTTGTGTCCTTCTTAGTAATAAAAATGCAATAAAAAAGATCCAGGTTGTTTCAATCTGTGATGTTATAGTATAGTATAGTATTCTTGACCGTTTTTTTTCTATCAAGAAAACATGCTTTTCAGTTTTTAATTCTTGTTATTGGCCAGGAAGAAAACTATGCTGGAAATGAATTCAATTTTACATTTTACAAGAACAGTAGCTTTCCCAAGGACTTACACATACTCAGCAGTCAAAAAGTATTTGTTCAATAAATGGACATGCGGAATATTTTAGAAACATCCAATCAATAACATAATCGGCCAACTAACCAATTATGAATTATTCACTCCAAAACGTCTCTGAGCCTCTACCATGTGCTAGTCCCTCTTCTTGGCACATGTCCTGTTCTCCAAAAATGCTGCTGCCCCTGTCTTCCCCTCTTAGAATTCCATACGTCAGACATCTACCACGTGCCCTCTGTCCTCCAAGATTCGGATGTCCCCCTTATGCCACCAAGCTCTGCTCGGCTCTCTGTTGAGCTATTTCTTCTTTGACCTTATATGCCCTTCATTTTCCACTGCATTCATTTTCATGTCTTATCTTCCTAATGAGAGCATTTTTTTGGTAGTGGCCTATACATTTTTCATGAACATTTCCAATGCAAATACCAGTGCTTATTATTCAACTTTAACGACCATGTTTATATTTGTTTCACTCACCACCCTATGCTTTTAATTTACTTGAGCATTTTCAAGTGCATCTCAAACATTATATCATTTCACTTTTAAATGCTTTCGTATGCACCTCAAAATGTAAAAAGGGCATTTTTTAATATAACCAAAATACTACGGTCACATCTAACAAAATTAACAGTAATTCTTTTAATATTTTTTTGAAGTTAAAGCGTACCATATCCAATAAAGTACATAAATCTTAAGTGCATGACCTAACGTATTGTTTTCATGGTCATGCACTCATATAAACACCAACCAGATCAAGACCTGGGACATTTATAACACCACACGGGCTCCTTTGTGCTTTCCCTAAGTCAGTATCCCACTGCAAGCAATCACTGTCTAACTTCTATTACCATAGATTCAACCTGCCTATTCTTAAACTTCATGTTGATGAAATCACACAGTATATATCCTCTTGTGTTTTACTTCTTTAAGTTAGTGCTATGTCAACAAGTTGTTTAGGATGTTATGATTGTTTCTGGGCCCTGGGAGAGACTAAGTGCTTGACCTTGACTGCCTGTTAGAAACTGCCCCGCCAAGTCATGAAGGTGGGGGTACAGCAGAACACGCCCTTCAAGGGCACGTGCTGCAGCTGTCCCAGGCCTCAGTAAAAGTAGACATGCTATTTGGACCTTATGACCCAGCAGATCTAGTGACGTTCCAGGAGACTGTGGAAGATGGACATACTGAATCTAACCTCTGGTAAGTTCCAGTTAGAGACCCAGAGTTGTGGAATCAACTATGTCCTAGTCTGCCAATAAGAGTTCATTATCTGGGGCAGTGGGACCCCTCATTCTTGAGAGTATGCACTGCTTCACCAGCCCAACTAATTATCTGACTTGGGGGATCAGGTAGCACACCTCCATCTGGGGGGCTAACGGGTTGCCTAACAAATAAGTTAGAGAAACACATGAAAGAATAGCATATGCCATCTCCAAAATGTAGAATGTCCCACCAAGCAGTATGCCATTGACTTAGTGGACACGGGGGAGCAAGTGAAGCAATCCGCTCCCTTACTTCCGAATGTTCGCTCATGTGCATTTGCCAGCCTTCAGAGGACAGTCCTTGACTGAATTTCCCAGTGCCTGAGGAAGGGCGTTTTGTCTGGGTCTCCCGAGGGAAGTGATGATGAGATGGTGAGAAAGCCACTCATAACAAATATAGTGCAAAACATCTATGCCGAAGACTTTGAATCATTTTATTTATTTCATACATTGCATCAAAGAGGTCGTGTCATTTCCCCTCCATTAAATGTAAGCATCATCATCCAAATCTTTTTTTTTTTTTGAGTTGGAGTCTCACTCTGTCGCCCAGGCTGGAATGCAGTGGCACACTCATGGCCACCCCAGCATCTACCTGCGGGGCTCCGATGATCCTTCCACCTCACCCTTCCAAGTAGCTGGAACTACAGGCGCGCACTACCATGCCCGGCTAATTTTTTTGATTTATTGTGCAGGTGACGTCTCATCACGTTGCCCAGGCTGGTCTCGAACCTGCGGGCTCGGGCAGTCCTCTTGCCTCGGCCTCCCAAAGTGCTGGGATTACAGGCTTGAGTCACCGTGTCCAGCCACCACCATCTAAGTCTTATGCAATAAAATAAGCAAACATTATTAGAGCTACTCCAAGCCCCTCCAGCTCTCATGTTGAATCCAGAATCTTGTGCAGGTATAACCATACCAATACATTTGAGACAATCTGATGTTATGATATTTTCTCTCTGGACTGGCACCCTCAGAATATATCTCCACACATACTTCCTAGGCTTCTGTCAATATTGTTTAGTAAAATATTGGAATTTGTTGTGGTTCAGTTTCACACTTGGGGCATGCTGGAGGCCTGCCTCTATTAAGGCCTCTATAGATCTGGAGGTGATTACAGGTAATATTCTAATCCTAGGGTTAACTGGAGTATTAGTCAGGGTTCTCCAGGGAAACAGAATTGATAAGATGTGTATACACACACACACAAACACACACACACACACACACACACACACACACAGAGAGAGAGAGAGACACACACAGAGAGAGAAATAGAGAGAGACGGGGGAGAGAGATTGACTTATCATAAGGAATTGGTTCATGCAGTTCTAAGAGCTGATTAGGCCCAAGATCTGTAGTTGGCAATCTAGTGACCCAGGAGAAATGGTTGTGTCACCTGGCAGGCTCAAGACCGAGGAAGAGCCGGTGTTCCAGTTTGAGTTCAAAGGCAGAGGGAAAAAAAAATAATACACCAGCTCAAAGGCAGTTGAGTAGGAGGAATCTTTCTTATTTGGGGGAGGATCGATCTTTTTTTTCTATTCAGGTCTCTGACTGACTGGACAAGGCCCACCCAGGGTAATTTGCTTCACTCGGTCTATTGATTTAAATGTTAAACTCATCCAAAAACACCCTCGGAGAAACACCCAGGATCAAGTTGGACTGAATATCTAGGCTCCTATAGCCCAGTCAAACTGAAACAAAATTAACCAGCACAACTGACAAATTTATGAATTTCACTTTTGTTGTAATTCCCTAACTTGACAGATCAGAGTTTCAGTTATATAAAAAGTCTTGCAAATAAGTAAAAGCTATTTTAAGGCAAACAAAAAACACCTTCATTTTCTTACCTTGGTCTAAGATGAGAAATTTTAAGATTGTCATTTCTTCCCCCGTATGTTCTCCAGTGTAGTCAGAAGGAACCAGCCCAGGCAACTGTCTGGCAGTCTTCTCCATCACTTGTTTATCTGAGGTACCACTTTGTCTTCCAAAGTCACTTTATGTCCTGGACTTAAAGTTTCCCGTTCTCAACTGAGAATGAAGTCATCGTGTTTCAAACTCAACCACATCACATAACAGATAATCCATTCAAGATTCTCATCTTTGAGAGTCAGTTTCTGGCAGCCCTCTTTTTTTTTTTCCTGGGTATGTTTTAGGAAAAGAGAAACTGGTTGAAGCAACGTTAGTTAAAAGGAATATGGTTATCATGTACTTATTCAATTACTGGGAGTCCTGGGGAGTAAAAGGGAGAAGGTTATCTCCAGGTTTCCCTTGACCTGCCATGGGATCAGGAAACTTCAGGAAACTGCCAATCCATAGCTTCCTGCAGCTCCAAAGCCAGAGACTGAACGATGTGGTCCAGTGTATCCCCATAAAACCTTCTGCTTGTTGAAGCTTACATGTGTCAGACACCCTCACTGCTGGGGGAAGAAGGGCTTGTGTTTGCCTTTGACTTTATAATCTCATGTGAACACATCTCATTGGCAGAGTCTGGCAGAGCTCTAGGGGTCCTGGGTATGCAGTTCCAGAATCTTGGTGTATAGAGAAGTGCAGAGAAGGGACTGAGAATTAGTGCCAACTGTCAATCAAAATGTCAACCACGCTTTCAGGGGAGGAGAATTCACTAGTAGTTAGCTGAGCAAAAGCATATAAAATACAGCTATTTATAAATTAGTGGGAACATGATTAAACTCAATAACAACCAATACATAAACATTATACTCTCCACCTATTTAATTTGTATTATATTTAAATATCATTTTCCTCACCATTGCTAATCTTGTGTTTGAACATAAGCTGCTAATATTTTTGGCAAATAAAAAATGTTACAGCATTTGGAAAGCATTTTGTGTTAAGGGTGATAAAATACCCATACCTTTTGATTGTGTAAGTCCACCTTCTGGGCATGAGACACTAGGAATTACCTTGAAGTAATAACACCTTCTGTGTTACTCATAATTGAAGACCTGTAACAAGGTAGAGAGGCAATATTAGGGAACAGGTTAGCTCAACTATGTCACACCTTATATGATATGATTACATGGACATTAAATATGATGTTTTAAAAAAAGATTGTACATTACTTGTTAAAACACTACGTGAAAGAGAGGATACTATGTGTGTGTGCATGTATATGTGTATAATGTTATCACATTCAAGGAATGTAAGACAAAAAGATGAAAGCTTTCTCATTCCTGTGCATGAAAAACAGTCATCTAGTTCTGAATCTCTCCCACTTACATTTAAAATACATACAAGGAAAAAAAAGAGTAAACAAAAATTCCCACACCAAACATCTATTGTGTATCTCAAAAATCAAGAAAACCTGGAAACTCCAAGTGACATATAAGGAGAGTGAAAAAATATGAATCAAGCAGAATATTTTTATACCATACACATTAGCAAAGTTAAAAATTTGACAAGAGTGTTAGTACCTATGAAAAAATGGGACTATTTTATGAGAGTGAATATATTTCCTTGGAAACAATTTAGGGAATGTATAGTAAAGTTTAAAAAACATAAGCCTGATGACTTAGGAATTTTACTCTTAATCATATATCTGGAAACGTTCGAATAAGTGATCCCAAGAAGGCATATACTAGAATATTCATAGCATCATGGCTTATAATACTAAAAAAAGAACCAAACTCAATTTCCATCTACAGGAGATTAGATTAATAGTGGTAATGTAGTCAGTCAATGAAACTATATGAAACAGTGAAAATGAATGAAATAGACAAAGGTCCATGTAGTTGAGTTTTATAAATGTAATCTGACCAATCCCTTTCCATTATAAAAAAATAATAGTACAATAGGATTCATACAAATTTTAAAACATGCAAGCAGTGCAATATATTGAAACATTAAAAAATACATGAGAAGTATAAACACCAAATTGAGCATAGTGGTTATGTAGGAAGGTAGGAAGAACTGCAGGAGAGGAACATGTTCTAACTGGATGGAACATTTTTTATATGTTCTAACTGGATGTAAAAAATGTTATTGCCTAAGCTGCATGATGAGATGTTGGCTATTTACAAGATTGTTTTTTATACCTTTTTAGATTTTTGAAGTATTTCCTCTTTTTTTACATTTCTTAGAACATTTTTTGGACGGCGTGGCTGGGGCATGATACATGTTGTATACAACCGTGTAGGGTGAGGATTCAGAGGTGACCAGAGGCCAGAAAACCGAGAGACTTGTGGACCATGGAAAGGGCTTGGGACTTTAGGGAAATGTGATACCATTTAGGGTTTTGAGCTGGGCAGTGACATAAGCATGTGGGCATTTTAGAAAGAACATGCTGGCTGCCGTGTGAAAAATAAATAGCCGGGGAACAAATGTGGAAGTTGGGAGAACCGGTTATGTGTGGTCCTCCTCAGGGGTAAAGGTGAGATCATTCTCCAGATTTCAGCACCCAACTCTGAGCAGAGGACAAAAAGGCAGTCAACAACATAAACAGCAGTATACTAATTGGATTACTTTAGGTTAGGCAACATTTTGCTTAACTTTAAGTTATTTAACATCTTTTTTTAAAATACAAATTTGTTATAGAACATCTAACTTTCACTTAGTTTCTTGCTCCAAAGACTACTGTCTTGTCCATTTGTTCATTCAGGTTTTAAAGTTCCATCTTGACATTTCTCTATCCTCTTTGACACTGGACTCTAACATGTTGTTTCCATTATAGCCTCTCTCTACACCCAGATCACTCTTCCTGCTTTTCCCAATGCCTCAGTTTTGCTTTTTTTTTTTTTTGCCTCTCTGTGTTTGTCTCACTGCCTTCTACACTTTCCCCTCCCTCCCCTCTATCCATCCACGAGCATGGGAACCTTTAAGATCTGGACCTGAACTTGCTTCTTCCAAACCACAGCAAGCTTCATGCCTCCGAGATCACTTTCTTCGCCTTCCTAACTTCTTAAACATCGCCCCGGTGGTTTATTCTCACTTCTCCTCATGACTCCGCCCACTCGCCTCCTCCCCACCTGCTCCTTAGAGTTGAGTTTCCTGCAGCGTCCTCTGGTCCTGCCTCAGTTTCACCATTGTCCCAGACCAAACCAGGCTCAGGGAGGAGTTCCATGAGCTGCTCCAGCTCTGTGAGCGTTCATTGTTCACCACCCACCCTCCACCTCCAAGGAGGTAGAGGAAATAAGCCAAGTCTTAACTTTGAACTCTGAGTCTGCAGGGTTTGCACTGCCCACGGGACCCCGAGGAGGGCTCTGTAGCCCTGAACAGGACTGCACTGTCCCATCACTGAGCCCTTGCAACCCACCCTAATCCTAAGTTTAGGGTTGACCCCAACCTGAGTCTCAGATCCGCTAACCCAGCTCTCTGTGACCCACCTTAGGGAACAGAGGTTTTCTGAGATTTCCATTCCGATCTCCCACTCCAGTAACCCATGAATATGCTGCAATTGCCTAATGAGGGCTGGAGTCCCCCCTTATTCTTTTTGTGTTCATCTCTGCCTACTGTAGTTCCTTGGGTGAATGAACATCAGCTCCCAGATCTAGGAGCCTGTTGTTCTCAGAAGGCTGTGGTCTGCATGGCTGACTGCCCATCCTCTGCCCTTTGAACATGCTAATACCTGCCTGATATTTGCCCGGGACATGCAGGGTCACTGTGGATGATGAGCCATGCCTCCACCCTGGAAGTTGTTAAGTTCTCGCTCTTATTTGGAGCCTGAATTCCCGCAATCTCTGTCACTGTGGGCAGATCTCATTCTTGGTGGCAGGACCGCCCTGGCCTCGCTTCCAGTAAGCACTCATACTTCCCTGATGAGTCTTGACATCTGTCACCAGAATCTCTAAATGTATGGCAGTTGCATGGTCTTTGCGACAATTTCGGTGTCTGAGCTGTCTTTCATCTTTTCTCTCCGTCCTTAGGCACAGTGGGCTGCACGTCACACAATTAACAAATGACTAGAGACGAGAAATGGAGAGCCTCACACACTCTGATTCACTTGGGTTTATCAAAGGTCACCCAAAGCATATGTGTCTCATCAAGAGGTGGGGATAATAGTACTCACTTCTTGTAGGTGCTATACAGATAGAACTGTGAGCCGTGTGGCGCACTCACTGGAACAGGCATGCACA